AACTAGACCTGATGAGTAGCCGGTCTTCGCGTTGCGTTGTACGCCTTGGTCGACCTGATCGACGACGATTGCCCATACTACCTCGCAGGCGAAGTTTTCGCAGGTTGAAACGTATGGAGCCTTCAGAAATTCCCAGTCTTCTTGCAATTTCCCTATTAGACACTCCTTCTGTATACAGTGCTTCAATGTTCCCTTTAGTAAATTCTGACAATTCCCTAACTTTCGGCATGGCTCAATGTTTGTAAATAAAAATTACGTATCTGACACTATGACCTCCATAGGAATATTCATGAACTACAACTGACAGGTATTCCCGCCCAGAAGCGCGTGTTGAAATAATTTCAGCTTCCCAATTGGTTCAAATTTGCATGAGAAAGGACACGACTATCGCACATGTTTTATGGCGCGAAGTTTTAATGAGATGCAAATGATATGCAAATGAGCGCGCTCCCATAGAGTTAACCATGGCGATTTTCGCTCACTGAAAAAACGTCTACATAAAAAAAAACTAAACACAAATCAACCATTTTATTTTGACTAAAATGCACTAGTTACTTCTTAAATTTAGTATATTTTAAAGTCAACACATCATGTTACCCGGAATTGTTATTTTTAGTTACGAAAACGATCAAATGACAGGTGCGTAAATACTTTCTGGCGGGTCTGTATATTCTTATTTCACCAGATTTATCAGGGTCAAGTTCATTGTCATAGAATATTCCAATCGTTTATGATTGCATCATGACAATTGTTCATTTGTTTCAGCTCCTCCACCCTCTTCTCGAGCACTACCACCACCACCGCCCGGTGATGGACCTCCACCTCCTCCTCCTCCACAATCACGTTCAGTTGGACCACCCCCACCTCCACCAGGAAGAGGGGTGCCTCCACCAGGAAGAATGATGCCACCCCCACCACCTCGCGCAAATTGTGGTCCTCCACCACCACCACCAACTAGGACTGGAGCGCCGCCACCTCCACCACCACCAAGTTCATCTCGAGCTCCAGCACTTGCCCCACCACCACCCCCACCTCCCACATCCTATGGTGCTCCTCCACCACCACCACCTCCTGGGCCCCCACCACCACCAATGGGTGGGCCACCCCCACCACCCCCACCTCCCCTTCCTGATACAGATTCGTCTAGTGGAGGTAGATCTGCTCTTCTTGGACAGATTCAAGGAGGTAAAATGTTGAAGCATGTGGATGCTTCTGAACAAAGATCAGCTGCTCCAGAAGACTCCAGAGGCACTTTGTTATCAGAGATAAGAGGTGGATTTTCACTTAAGCCAGTAAGTCAGCACTTTGTTCACATTTCACATGTACAGTACATGAGCTGATTAAAATATGCCAAAACCAAGAATTCAGGAACCAAATCTAAGGTATATGATAATTATTGGGTTTACAACTCATCTACATCTACACCTGATTCACGTCATTTTAATCTCCATTTGTACAAAGTCAGAAAACAGGGATGTATAATTTCACTAGTGTGTATCAGTATACCTGTATCTCTGTCACGCCTGAATGATTATGTTTCAACTACACATACACAACTTTTTACTCAAAAATATGTATTTTGTATTTGACAAAATATTTTTTTGTTAAAGTATATAAATTTTGAAAATAAAAAAAAAAACAGGAATTTGTTTCACCTATTTGAACAGAATTATAGAGCTTTTATAATACTAATGTTAAAACGCACTTTAAAAACAAAGATTGCAATGTTTGAAGATGTAGATTCTCAGGAGGAAAAAGAACTACTGACTCTCTCCACTGGACACAAATTTGAGTTGATTTGCATACAAAGCAGAGCTTGCAACATGTTAATTATACTTAAATGGTGTTTTTTTTTTTTTTTTTCCAAATAATACAGTAGTCACACAATGAATATAATAAGGCAGTTCATGTACTAATTACTTGGACAAAAGCCAGCTAAGATTTTCTGTTATCTTGCATGTTTTATGAATCTATTTGCAGAACTTTTTTTCTGAGATGAGGCATTTGTTTTTATACTAATTTATCTGAATTACTTTGAATAAAGCTGGAAATTATGTCCCCTAAAATAATTAAACAAATTAGCCACCAATGTTTTTGTAAGATATTTACATCAATCGAGGACATTCGGTAGACTGCTTTCCCACTGTTGTTTCAATCCTAAAACTGTTTTAATTCAAAATAATTATGACAATGCATATTCATATTGAAACAAACTATGATAAAGGAAATATTATTATACAACAATTGGCAAGGTCACCAAAGTTCAACTATGCTCTTGAAAATGGCTAGCCAAATTGCTTCAATATTTTATATATAAACACTTTGAGTGGACCTCAGAGATACATGTATTTGTGAACTTTGTGACAATTTCTATTTTCTTGAATTTTTGTAGAAAAAGGCTATTTTTGACTCCTTATTAAAAACAATATCCAAAATTTATCTGAAATGCGAGTTTATGAAGTTCTCAGTAAATTTGTTGTAATCTTTGTTTTGAAAGGTTGAACATGTTGATGGACCAGCTACGCCAGCACCAACAGGAATGGCTGCAGCTTTAGCTAATGCCTTGAATGCACGCCATAAAGTCATTCAGTCAGGTACGTAAATATTTTGTACATTTATTTGGTTCCTTGGATGAAAAAATGTACTTCACATTAGCATATATCTACTACCTGATACTTATTTCAGCTGAATACAATTTGTTAATGTACAGATTGGGATATAATGGTGCAAGTGCATTCATTCAGTGATCTGATTCAAGATGGCTGACTGGCTGTTATTTTTCAATCAGGCATCTTTGGTATTTGTGAAATAGATGCAGTGTGTTTGGATGGATTTTGTTCATGTGTGGTATATACATAGGACATTTCAGTTTGTGTCACTAAGACAGGGACCAAAGTATAAGTTTGTTCAGGGGTTTCAGCATTGAATAAATACA